CAGATTGTCACGATAAAACCAATCTATTTGATATCCGCGCAACATATGAGGAAAATTCTGATATACCTACAAGTTATGTTAGAATGGACGTCGAAAAATGGAGAACTGCTATACCTTTTAATGTAACAAAGCTATCACAAAACTCAACAATTATCTCGGTTATTGCTTCTCACTGGACAGAATTTTATGATACGTTTATTCCAAGCCTTGAAACACATGTTCCTATTGCATCATTTGATGGGGTCCATAATAACACTGATTGGAACTTTTATCCTGAATGCTCGAATTTAGATTACTTTGAAAAGAAAAATTGCATAGTTTCTAAATACCCATTTTATTTGTCAATTGAAAGCTTCCCAGAAAATGATTATTCTACTGAAAAGCTTTGGGATACGTTTAATTTAGGTGTCGTGCCTGTTATATGGGGAGCGCCTAATACTCTATCATACTTACCACATCCTAAATCTGCTATTTTTATTGAAGACTTTCCTGACTCTGAGGCTCTTGCAAATCACTTGAAATATTTAGTTAGAAATGAGACCGCGTATTTAGAATACCATGAGTGGCGGACTATGACGAATTTGTCTGATCATTTTATGAAAAAATCATACATGAGCATGTATAACCTTGAATGTAATGTTTGTAGGGAAGTTTCTAGATTAAAGATTATAGAAGGATATAATAAATAATTTGGATTTTATTTTCTTTTAATATGTATCATAATATAAATAGACTAAAAAGTATGTTAATAATTTTTTAACCTTGCCAGAATTCAAACTTTCAATTTGATATTCCATATTTTTTCATTATTCTGTTAAAATTACATAATGATTTAATGATTTTATTTACATATACCGTAAATTCTCGAAATAGCGGGCATGGACGTTATTTTGAGTTATGGCCAGAATTAAGCTTAATTTAGGCCTAATTTTGAGATTACACCCCTGGGCGCTATTTCGAGAATTTACGGTACTAATAAAAACAGCAATTGGTTTTGTAATCAAGTAACTAAAAATTGGCTTGGCCAATTAGGTCTAAAGAAAATCTAGTGTTACTAATCTAAAAATTCGATAAAAAATTTTTGTTATTAGTTAGAAAGTTTTTCAAAATATAGTTTTGAAGTATTAAAAATATTTTTTCTTTAAAAGAAATATTCTCAAGCACTTAATTACATAAATTTAAAAATTAATATTAGTTATACTTACAAACTAGTTAATGCAGTGATGTCTTTTGGACTTATCCAAAAACTTAATTGAATTTTGGACAATTTCGATTAGTTCAAATTTGTTTGGTCTGTTTAATATTTCTATAAATTATTAGAAAATATTAAATTTTTCTAAAACTTTAAATAAAGATATCTTAACAACTATCTAACCATATTTAATAAAATTTTTTTGGTTTAAATTCTATAAATATGTTGAATTAAAATAATTAGAGTTTTAAATAGATTAATATCTATATTTTTAAGAGGTAGTATTCTAATAAAAAGATTTTTAATAGAATTTTGAAAAGATAGTATTAAATATAATTTATATGAGAAAAAGCAAAAGTTATTAAGTTAAATAGTTAATATTAAGAAGAACTAATAAATAATAATATAACTAAATTCTCTTTAAATATTATTTAAAACTCTAATATAGATACAAATCTTCAATGAATACTGCATATAACTTTAAATAACTTTTGTACTTTATAATATTACTAATTTAGAAAAATATTTATATTTACTAAAAGATATTTGTATATTTTATATTTTATTACTTGTAAGAAGAAAAAAATTTATTTATTTTAAAGAAAGTAATTTAATATATTTTAAAAAAAATATATTATTATTATTATTTATAGATTTTTATTATTTAGTGTATATGTATTATAATATATCTACTTATCAAAATTCAAGATTTAATGTAACATGAAATCAAAACAAACTCTTTTTGTATATTAGTTTAGAGTTCAAGCCAAGACTATATTAGAGTTAAAGAAGAGAAATAATAAAGCAATTTTTAATTTAAAAGTTTGCAAAGAATTTTTTTGTTAGAATAAAAAGAAGGTTTCATAACTAAAAAAATTGAGTTACAAGTGATTTCTTTAAAAAACTACTATTGTTTTAATTTTTATATTATATCTGATTCTGTAATTTGATTAGTTAGTATTATAATATATAAATATTAAATTATATAACTCTTATTTATTACCATTCAACACTACTATATCTCATATTTAACTATTGTAACTCAACCTCTTGAAAGTCATTTTACCGACAGGTCATTTCACTGACATATTAGCTCGATTTAGAGTTAGAATTAGGTTAGTGCTGGCCAATTTTTTATTTTCTGTAAAATGGCTGTTGGTTAAATGAGACATAACCATATTTAACTACCTAAACTCCTATATTAGATAATATATACTTTAGTAGAACAATTACTCTATTAAGCAACAAACATGACAATTCATTAAAAATATACAAAATGCTTATAATATTGCTATATAGGCTTCTCAAAAATAAATATCAATCTGAATACAATACTTTGCACAAATTAATTGGCTATCAACTTGGCTTCTTCTTAACAACAATATATCTCTTTCCTCAAACTATACTAATTTTTATCTCAACAAAGCCAAATCCTTTATAGTTAAAAATATGATTAACAACCTTTTTACAATTTTTTGTCTTCAACTAATCTACTCTAATATATTTCTAACTAACCAATGCTTCAACTGCAATGCTACAGATAAACAACAATACTAGATTTTTTGTAATAACAACTCATTAATTCTTGACATTATATAAATTCTATTACAAAGTTCTTTATAATATTCAAACTAGAAATCTCTAATAATGAGTTACAAACTCTGCACTAACAACTTATCAACTACTACTCACTAAACTTTTCTTAATCATTTTCAAGCTCTATATCAATCTATACTATATTTCAAGGATTTATATCTAATAAGCTAGCTACTTTACTACAACTATTTACTAATTCACACAAATTAGTAATACAACTAATAATTAAGTTTCTTCACAACCTATTTAATACTATTTACAAGCTAATTTGAATACTATATTGTGACAAATTTGCTTAATAGAAAAAATCTCACAATATTAATACTTCATATTCTAATTCTAACTCAAATAATATCTAACTTCAACAACAAACTACAAACTCTTTTACTTCAAATCACAATTCAAACAGACAATTTAATAATACTACTCAAACTATAGAATAAATAGCTATTAGCAAAATATACTTATAGATGATGCAATAGATCAAATATAGTATACCAACTAATAATATACTATTCACTCAAATTTAAATGAGTTATAACTACTCTAGTAGATTTAGATTGCAGATAAATTAGTTTAGTTAGTATTTATTAATATACTATAGTCTGAGTCTTAATTCTCTTCATATAATTTAAAATTTATAAAGTTAATTCATTATAGTAAGAAACTCTTTGTAGAATCTTAATTAAATTATTAATAAAGATAGAGATATGACCTTACCTTTAATACAAAAAAAAATAACTCTTATTTATATATCTTTTAAATATTATTAGAAATTTAAACTTTAATTATTGAATTAA